AATATCGGGATGGGCGAGGTGGTGACCGGAATAGGGATTATCGGGAAAGAAATGAGGAGAGGTCGGATAAGAGAGAGGGCCATCGAAGAGATGTGCCGGATAGGACTAGAGGTGAGATTATGCCAAATGCGCTTTCGCAGACGGCGTTTGCGTTGAGAGGTAGATCTAACGTTGAACAAGATGATACTCGACAATCTCGAGGAATTGATGAGGAGAGAAATGGGAGAAAAGGTATGTTTCCATCTGATCTAGAGCAGGATGGAGCATTTGTACTTGCCATCAGAACACTGTCTAACACGCCTCAAGACAATGAGCGATCATCAGGAGAGAAATCAAATGAACGAGCAAGATCTAGGAGTCCGCGGCGCGACGACGAGCGAGATTATAAAGAAGATAGAGGTAGCGAGAAGACACGAAATAGCGAATATGTGGACGACGCTCCACAACCAGTCAGCTTCAGTATTGGGGCCAGTCATGCAAATACAGCTACAGCTCAAGATCACGATCGGATGGATGTTGATGGTGGAAACAAGAAGACGTCACGGCACAAGAAAAAAATTGAGGAGGAAGAGGAAGAAGAGGACGATGATATTGTGGTTGAGGATGATGGAATGGCAGCCATGCAGGCCATGATGGGTTTTGGGGGCTTCGCAACGACACAAAATAAACAGGTAGCAGGAAATAATGTTAGTGCTGTGAGGAAGGAAAAGAAGACACAGTATCGTCAATACATGAATCGGGTTGGAGGATTTAATAGACCTCTGAGTCCGAGTAGGGATTAAATGAGGAGCAAAGGAGTGTAAGAATAAGTCATGGCAAACAGGCCAGATGAGGGGTTACATATTGAGAGAGGGGCAGGCTGTATGAATTTGTAGATTTGTGGAGTGAAGATTGGCAAATTGGTATTAATACATGACCACATGATATCCGGGGAGTTATCAACCTTGTTCATTGGCACTCTTTTGAGCGTTTCCCCATACCTAGATAGTTGAGAGGATAAATACTCAGGAACACTTTCCCGATCACCGGAAACATAATTCATTTATCCGTAAGTTTCGGCCCGTGTCTCTATCCGTGCTTTGAATATTTGGACCAATAACCATATGGAATCATGGAGCCTTCCCTGCAGCCTCGCGCCACAGGCTGATCGCAACGCAATCTATCCACAAATCCGCAACGGTGTTCTTTGGACATCACGTCCTATGATTTCTCTCATAAAAGCCTTTTTTCCTTTTCTTCATCATAAGTTAAGTATCCAGATTGCCAGTTCTGGATCTTGACTTTTTGTTTTCTTCAATTGGGGAAAAATATGACGCCTGTCACATTGCGGCCCGTAACCGCTCTGGTAGCAGTCCTTTCGCTGTTGGGCACCTCTGTCCACGCGGCTGAGAAACAAGATGTGGGCATTGTGACGACGGAAATCGCGCGAGAACAGAATAGTAGTTTACTATGGGGTGCTTACAAACCGAATCTGTATTTTGGGGTTCGTCCGAGGATTCCCAAAAGTTTTACCGGAGGCTTGATGTGGGCGAAGGTGGATAATTTCGTGGATGTGCAACATAGTAAGTTTTGTGTTTTGTGGGAGGTTTGGAGGGTGGGAGTTTTGGAGTTGTTGTTGTTGTTGTTGTTGTAATGATGAGGAGGAAGATAGGGGAATCATGGCTAATTGTATCATTTGTAGACTTTAGACATACTTGCGAGCAAGGTGATGGTATGAGAGGGTATGGATGGGAGGAATTCGATGCTCGCAATGGCGGGAAACAAACTATGTACGATGAGAGCAATGGTATTGATATCAGCACTTTCTTCGTCAAGTCCCCCGGGGGAAAACATGGCGGAAACTGGGCGACGAGAGTGAGGGGTAAGGTTAGGGATGGGTCGCCTGCAGATTTGAAGACAACGATGATCTTCTACGCTTCTCTGGAGGGATTGGGAAGTTTGACGGTTGCGAATGAGCAGGATGATTTGGGGTTCGAGGGAGAAGTCAATTTCAATGGTGATTCGGATGGCTTGGGCGAATATAAGATTACGGTTACTCCTGGTCGGGGCTACCATCCTGCTTCGGATCATCCGTCTTATAAGGAGAAGCCGTTGGATAGAACTTTTGTTCACTCTCTTACACTTGATGAGAAGTTACTCTGGGCTGCCAAGCCTCATTTGTTCGGCAAGTTGAAGGAGCAAATCGATGAATATCTTGGAACTTACGGAGAAGATAATGCTCCTCCTCCATATCAAATCTATACCGTCTCACACGCACCAGATGAAGGAAACTTCCATTTGGTTCAGAAAGTCTTTGAGGGAGATTTTGAATTCGATATCATTTTCAACAGTGCATCGGCGGAGAAGGAACTTTCTAGTCAAGAAATCTCGAGATTGATTGGCGAAAATAGTGTTTCCTTCTACAACAGATTTATTTCTACATTCGATCTGCAGCCACCTTTTGATATTGAGAGTCTTCAAAGATTTTCGAGTAAAATGTTCTCAAACTTGATTGGTGGTCTTGGATACTTCCATGGAGATTCGGTGGTTGATCGTTCATATGCTGAGGAGTATGAAGAGAGCAACGAGGGCTTCTGGGAAGAAGCAGCAGCAGCGAGGGGACGAAGACAAGAAAAGCTGGAAGGTCCATCTGAGCTTTTCACTACCGTTCCATCTCGACCATTCTTCCCTAGAGGTTTCCTCTGGGATGAAGGATTCCACCTTCTTCCGATTGCCGACTGGGATATCGATCTTACTCTTGAGGTTGTCAGAAGCTGGTTCAATCTTATGGATGAAGATGGATGGATTGGTAGAGAACAAATTCTTGGTGCTGAAGCTCGCAGCAAGGTTCCCGTTGAATTTCAAACACAGTATCCTCATTATGCCAATCCACCCACACTATTCTTCATCATCGATGCTTTTATTAGCAAGCTTGGTGCACTAAATGGTACTTCGCCAGAAGCAAAGGAGCAGCTCAGCCAAGAACCTTCAATCTACTCGGCGTATTTGAAGAATCCAGAAGCTGGTCTTCAATATCTTAACGAGCTCTATCCTAAGCTCAAGAAGCACTACTACTGGTTCCGCAAAACTCAAGCCGGAGATTTGAAATCTTATGACCGTGATGCATTTAGTTCGAAGGAAGGTTATAGATGGAGAGGTCGAACACCACAGCATATTCTTACTAGTGGTCTCGATGATTATCCTCGTCCTCAACCACCTCATCCAGGAGAGTTACATGTTGATTTGATGTCCTGGATGGGTATGATGACTAAATCTCTCAAGAACATTGCTAGTCTCCTCGGCATGGCAGATGATGTTGCTGAGTTAGCTACCATCGAAATAGCTATCCATCACAACATTGATGATTTACACTGGAGCGAAAAGGAAAAATGCTATTGCGATGCTACGATTGATGATTACGAAGAACATCAATTGGTTTGTCATAAGGGATATGTTTCTCTCTTTCCTTTCCTCACAGGTCTCGTTGATAAGGATAGTGATAAATTGGGCCACATTCTTAATTTGTTGGGTGATGAAGAGGAATTGTGGAGTGAACATGGTATTAGATCTTTGAGCAAGAAAGATTCGTTCTATGGAACAGATGAAAATTACTGGAGAGGTCCTATTTGGATGAATATGAATTTCTTGGCCGTTTCTCAATTACTTGTAAGTTTCCCCTTCCTGATGATTCCTTAGCCGAAAATGCTAATCCTTTCATAGAAATACGCACAAATTCCTGGCCCCCACCAAGAAAAATCTAAAGATCTCTACACCCGACTCAGGTTGAATCTTATCAAGACGGTCTATGATAGTTGGCAAGAAACCGGATTTGCGTGGGAACAATATAATCCTGAAACGGGAGTGGGACAGAGAACTCAACATTTCACCGGGTGGACGAGTTTGGTGGTTAAGATTATGGGGATGCCGGATTTGAGTGGAGGGGCTTTTGAGGCGGAGAAGGGGGCGAAGGTTAAGGATGAGTTGTGAGGGGTTGTGGGAGATACATGGGTAGGGGGGTGAGAATCTTGTGAAATAGAAGAGTGCTGAAAGTGGACGAAATGAGAGGGACATTAAAAGGAATATGATTTGATTTGATATGATTTGATATGATGAGATTTAGAAGGGTGTCATATAACATAGATACGTACTTGTGGTGTTGTATTGTGCGCATGTATGCATTTAGTATTGTATAGTACAGTATAGTATAGATATTTATCATCTTACATACCTAGATATGTGGTAGGTAGGTAGGTGGTAAAACCGAAGGCAAAGTTTACTATTTAGGTATCTAATCTAGATTCTGGAATCAAGATTAACATTTTTGAGGATTGTGAGAATTTTGAGGATTTTGAGGATTTGATATTGTGTACGTTGTATATTTTGTACGTGTCGTTTTGAGGGTATGAAAGTGGGAAGATAGGAGAGGAGAGGGGGAGAATGGAAGACTGGGAGAATGTGGGTTTGACTATGTTGCTTGCATTTGCTTGTACATAAATCTTGTGTATGTATATGTATGTATATGTGTATGTACTGTACAATGAGACTTCTTTCTTTCTAACTTTCTAACTTGCCATGTGAGAACGGATTAATGGATGAATGGATGAATTTGCAGATGAGAGGATGGGGGTTTGGGGGTGGGGGTTTGAAATACGCGAGCACAGTGAGGAATGATATATGTAGTAGATTTGGGAAGATACGATACGAGGATTCTTGGGAGGGATATAAGGAATTCTGTTTGTTACCTAGTCTTTAGTGGGGATGTGTGTAAGTTGGGGTTTGGAGATAGGTGGATTGGGTGATTGCTGGATGTTTGAGTATGGACTCTGGAGAGGATATTACGGGGCTGGAGTAGAGTGGATTGTATTGGATTGTGTGGTTGAAGTAGAGCTTGGGAAAGCAAAATGAAAGTGATGAGTATTTAGTATTCCCAATCCGTTTTCTATCACCGTTCTTGCGAATTACAGATGAATAAAATACTAAAGAACAAAATGCTGGCACAAAAGTCTCCCTCCGAATCCTTCCTATATGGTAGGCTTTCCGTGCGACCAACGCCCTTCATTGTATATTTCGGGACTCAAGTAAGAGGTAATTTCCAAAGAGTCATTCTCAATTTTGCCTGAAATGTACGTCTGCAGCCCAGTGGCAGCTTCAAGACGACGGTAAGTGCACATTCGATCCAGCACACCCATGAAATCCTTTGCACTCTGGTCTTGCGAACCTCCGCGTTTGTTGAAAAATGTTTGCAGCCCTTTAGCAACAGAAAGATCATCCTTTGCGTAATGTTTCACCGGGAGATAAACCTCTGTGGTTACTTTGGAACTACCAGGACGAACTTCAAAATAATAGAGGATTCCTGAAGTAATATGCGATTTGTAGGGAAGATGCCCAGCTTGTCCCTGATCACCACAACTGAAAACCATGTTCCACAACATTCGAAGCTCTTTCAACCCTTTTTCAATTTTAGACTTATCCTCAAAGATGCTCATAATCTCCATGACGCTTGCCAGTCTTATATCTGGACACCTAGCATATATCTTCATGCGTGACTTTTGGGGCGAAACGCAATCGAAAGCAATCATGAATGGGTCAAGTCCGAGTGACTTGCTCTTCAGATCTAAAGCTCGAACCAAGCCTTGGAGGGATGACCATTCCAATTCCTGAGCGAAGTTGGCTAGAGACTCAAGAATAACAGCAGATTCAGTTTGAGATGTTTCCATTGCTCTTGCAAACGGCATCATGTACAGCTTGACAACGGGCATCTTATCTCTCATTTCAAATGCCACGAATAAACTTGAAAGGGGTTGTTGCAGATCGAAACGTGATATAAAATCTTCAGAAAGAACGTCTTTTGAGGGAGTAAAATCCTTAAGAAGACGGTAGAACCATTGTACGTCAATCTCCGGTACATCCACTTCAAGGCGGTTAACAAGATCAATAGTAGCTTTCTGATTCCATGGGTCCGTAATTGTGCCAGATTGCTTGTTAATAGCTTCAATACTAAAGCGCACTCTTCTATCAACATCTCCCTGTGCATTTCTCCAGTTCCAGCTAAATTCAATGGGACTAAAATCATCTGTCATGTAGCTTTTCCATCGAGGGGGCTGGTTTGCCTCCATTGGAAATGGACCGAGGTTGGGAACGACGTATGTGTGGTAGAACATCATGGCTGAAGTCTGCTGGCGCAAGTCGTAATTTCCCGACACGAGCAAATTCCATAGCGTTGCACTTGTGGCATTCCACCAGAGAAGAGCATCGGGAGACAAGTGTTGATCTGAAGGTGCGGAAGAGGCAAGCGTAATGTCATGAGTTACCGAGCTACTCAATTGTTGACCCTGTCATTGCACAAGTACGTTAGTGTCGAATTTTCCAAACCAAGCAGAGCTAGGACGAACCGAGATACAGTCCATAATGAGGTAAGTTTCCAAAGCTTTTCGATTGCTACAGAGTTTGTGGAGGTGAATCTAGTGTCCGAAATACGATTGAGTGTGAGAATGTTGTGTGGATGGTTTGGATCTTCTGGAGGCAGCGGGAGACTTATATATCAGAGGACTATACTAAACTTCAGCAATTTAATGGTAATGTAGACCATTTGGCGCACTTAAGTCCGGTAATCTTATTGTGAAATCTCACAATCCAATCCCAACTAAGCAAAGCTTCAGAAGCCTGATGAGCTCTACCTCCAACGAGTCACCAACATCTGACATTGGGGTCGTATTCTTGAAACTATATCATAGCTACTCTAGTGGCAGTAGTTGTGATAGTGACAGGGTGTTAGCGCCGCTTAAAGCACAAAGATACATTGAAGAGAATCATCGCATCGGATATAGTCCATCACCAACAAATTTTCCATCATTCAAATGAATATTCGTCGTCAACAAAACCAACTGCATACAGCGCAATCAACACAGACGCAGACCCTTGAGCTATACCCACCTAGGTGTAAGGGTGAAAAGCTGGGCGCAAGATGTTCTTGTATCCTTCTATCCATTCAACATGCAGCTGACAACACCTTGCGAACTCGACGTCAAAAAGACTTTCTCGTTCTGTAAGAATCGTGGCAGCCATAAACTTTATCATTAAAAGATTCAAGAACGCCTTGACATCATGATTCGGTTTCAGCATCAATACCTCATATATGCGAGTATGTTCGCAGAGTCGACGCTTGTGTCTACATACGCATATATATCATGAACTTCTCCAACCAGCTGTATTCTGTGAGCTTATAGATCTTCAACTCGATACTCAAGCTATCATAGTTGTGAAGTTGTTGGTGGCGTAGTGGCGTAGTGCATCTGCAAATGCAGGGGCTAAAAATCATGTTTCTAGAACGTGTATCAATCATTTGAGATCGTATTTTATATATGAAACAATACTACATTAGCAAGGCTAAGAATAGACGGGTGATAGATTGGCTGTTTAGCTTACCTTCGATGGATTTCTTAGGGTGACAATGGCTTTTGATCTCTGGATTCAACGACATTTTGAACTCATGGACCCATCTTCCTACTTGCACTGTTACTTCATCCATTAGAAGTTGGGGAGAAAACAGCGGTTCTACGAGAAATCTACATCACACAACTCTCTGATCGTTCAAGTCTGGTACAGAAGTACCCTAGAAATATTCACTCTGACCCTTGTCGATATACTCGCATTTATCGACAGCATCTCAAAGTTGGGATAACTTCCAAAGCTCTCGAGGGATAGAATCACCTGGGCAATATCCTGAGAATATGAGCGTCGTCCGGCACGCAAACTTGAAGACAATGCCCGTGCTCGTCTGCAGCCATACATTTATTCGGCTTAGTGTTCAACATTCTAGCCGTAAAATAGGTGCTGGGTATTTGGATAAGTATATAATTGGCAGGTCATACTACAATCAATGTAACACTTCTCCACAATCCAGAATGTCACTATAAACACGCTTTGCCTTCTTCATGCCATGATCATGCATGAGTCAAATGCCAATTGTCATACCTAGTTAATCTATCACAAGTCAACCTGCATGAAATCTTCAGCCTGACCCGAGACTCTGGGCCGGGAGATCATTTCATGCAGGTGGTTCTTGGTTAGGCCGGTTCAAGTGTTCGAGTGTGATGTTATCACGGAATTGATATATTACTTGAATTGAAGATGTTGGTAATTTGAACCATCATGCAATGTATGAATGGCATGACTTTTGCTCCAATCCAAGTCACTCAGTTACACTGTGCTTTCCCTATCCGCATTAGGTATTCAAATATCTCAAGAATTTCGTGGTTGAATTGTGCATCGTACACGATAATCTTACACGAAAGTAGCAAACTCATCCTCTTCGGGCGCATTTTGCTTCGGAAACGTTTCCCGAGAAATATTTCACCGGGTAGTATGTGCCATTTTACCTGTGACTTGGCGTATAAATGCTAGTCATTGCTCCCTCAATATGTAACTCTTTCCATTTTTAGATGTTTGGTCACAAAGCTTTAAAGCAGATGTTACCATTGCTTCATGATTGTGTGTCTAGTAAGGCAGCAGTTTATCTGGCTATTAAATGATGATAACACGATATATTATATCATTTAGCATCTGATCGTCAAGCTCTTACCATACATTAAGATTCTAGCAATGATAACCACTAAGAGCGAGGCCATCAACAATGCAGCTGTAAGTATCTGCAGAGATATCCACCCATAAAATTCCAGAGCGCCTGCAATTGGATTTCCGACCAATATTCCTACGGATATCGGCATCAAGAGCATTCCTAAGCGGACACCCAAAACGCCTGTATCTGGAGATAATGCAACACCGAGATTTGGAGATATTGACGTCAATCCGCCGGAAAAGAAGCCGTACGATACAGTGAATAGAATCATACTAGCAGTGCTGTGAACAGCTATCCAGGTGAAAGCTAAAATTCCACTTAGGAGAACGCAAATTATGTCGATATTAAATGGGCCATAGATGTCGGCGAAGCGGGTCGGGATCTATAGTTTTATTAGGAACCAAGAATTGATAAGAATCTGGATGAGGGAAAACATACGATTCGCCCAAAGAAATACCCGACGTTGAGTAGAGGGAGAAGATAAGGAACAAGGTCGCCTCCCACTATATTGGTGTCGAGAGCATATGATTGAACATAGAAAGGCGGGATATAAGCACCCATAAATACTAGGAAAAAGAAGATACTAGTAACCAAGAAAGGAGGTTCTTTCCAGGCGCTCGTATCGAATATCTTCCTGACTGCAGACGGGGGAGTTCGTACACGCATTCCGAGTATAGGAACTGTAGCGGCCAAGAGAATGATAAAACCAATGACGCGGAGTGACCGCCCAAAACCAATTTTTGGTTGCAACTGGTTGAAAATTATCGGAAAGACAACGCCTCCTGCGGATCGCATGTGTCAACGTTGGATTAAGGACCGCAATATCTCTTTAACGTACCTATGGCACTACCAGAAGCTGCAACTCCCAACGCCAATGCTTGTTTCTTGTCGAAATAAGCTGGAAGCACAGCAATGCTAGGAATAAATAAACAACCACTGCCTATGCCGAACATGACTCCTTGTGCCAGTATAAAATGCTAATATTCGGAACTTATACTGGTTAACATCATTGCTAACATGCATAAAAAGCATCCTATCCAAACAAGAGACCTCAAATATCCATGGTCAAAAACTGGACCAGCAACTATAGAGAATCCGAAGAGAAAAAATGCTTGAATGGATCCAATCCAAGAGATCTGAGACGGAGTCCATGAGGGATAGTCAGTCTCGTAGTATGCTTGAAAAGAACCTAAAGGCTTCAGTAAAGGTTTTTCAAATATTGCAGTGCTCGAAAGTTACCAAATGAGCTCAGGAGGCCCCAAGATAGGAAGAATAGAGAAAATGAGCTTGCGCACTGCACCCAAGCAACAAAACCTCCATCTGGTGCTGGTGCATCGGTGGCTGATCTCGGTTCAACTAGCATTTTGATTTTGGTTATGAAGTTCAAATAGAAAGGTCAATTGTGCAAATTTCTGGACTTTCATGTCAATGTGGCAGAAAGACAAAGAATCTGTCCGCGTACCTCAAGGCATCGTAGGTCTTATCGAGAAAATTTGTTTGACTTGGGACTCCATCTCCGTACCGAAAGTAACTCTGATCATTGCATTGTTAAGCGCAAATACATTTAATCGTTTTGGAAACATGGAGAGTGCATTGAGCAGTTGACATCCAACATTTAACCTACAGCATGCCTTGACTAGTCGGTACGTAGTAGCAGTGCTTACTGTGAGCTTGTTCAGGTCTAATATGATTGGAGCGGTTAGCACATGGGCTGGTTCTAGCCTAACATCAGAAAATGACACTGTGAGATTAGATTGCTGTGGTTAGAAACTCCCCAATACTCCATGATATCACATGCATGCTTCTGCATCCGGATAAATTCGAGGCTTGAAGTATGCTTGCTAGGTGTGGGTAACCATAGTAACCCTACCATGATTACACATATGGATTAGCGGGAATCTTTCGGCAACATGCATGGATGATAGGCTATAACAACACATTTTCAGGTAAAATATTTAGCTTGGAAGATGTTCAGAAAGTGTTTGGTAATCGGCTGTGAGTATCTTGTGAACATGTCGCCATGGTCAGTTGTGCGAATAGTCTCTGGATGAGTATCGAGTTGACACTTCAGTGATAGATGCATTCCGTGACTTTGCTCCAAAAGAATAGATGGGGATGTTTCTTGTACGCAAATCTGTGTTTACACCCATCAAAGAAGTGAAATTCCAAGCGAAATTTGTCAGGCCACTGAAACTGCACCATGGATTTCCGAACTCCACCTTCCCTTTTAGGAATTTTCGGTACCGGTGCTGTGGTACGGATGCAAGTATCGTTCTTCCTATTGGTACTATAGTATATTTCCTGACTGCGCGACGCAGAAATTAATATACTTCGTATGCACGCAATCTGAGTGGAGGCGGGGGTAAGAATCTTCGTCTCGTAAAGCAATCCTTGAGCAATTCTCCCCGCAATTGCAGCTTTCCTCTCAATCGAAGTCTGAGATTAGTTTACTGAATGAGAAGTGTGCATTGAGCTGTTAGAATCAATCCCAAATAGTGGAGTCAATACATCCTGATATATATATATATATGTCTCTAAGCTGGGGCTAATAGATTGAATTGGCAATTGTTACAGCAAATACCACCTGCTTCATCCGTCAGTGTAATCATGAAATGGATCAATATCGATTGAATGGTAAAGATTCCTAAGACCTCGATTTCATAAGGAATATACCCAAAAACACTTACTTTTCTTGGCACACAGGCTAGTATCGCTCTTCCAGAGTTACAGCAATCTTCAGAGCAATTACAAGTTACAAGATATCACCAATAGATACCAAGAATCTACCTAGATGTCGCTAAAAAGGTCGTATCGCCGCATAGTCTGCTTTCTACTGTTGCCCACGTGTTTCGAAAATTCTTCCATCTGTACTTTCATTATTACATGGAAACTCATACGACAGTTCAAGTTGAAAAAGAATACAATTCACGTATATGTATGTAATATCTTAAAAGCTCTACCTCATAGTAAGTAGATACACGGTATCTGAGGCAATTTTTCAAGTCATTCGCATGTAAATTCGTATCGGAAATTTAGAATTATACTATCGACTTTCAAATCCTCCAAATTTTCTTGAATCATAGAATATAATTTTAATAAGAGATTATAATGGACTTGGCAATACTCAAATATTACTACTTATCGACTATTTCGATAAATCCTGCCAACAATATAACAGTGAAGCCATTCTGCTGCATAGGTATCTAATCGAAAATTGCTTCCCCACAAGCGGAATTTGAGAAAAAAGACAGCTTCAAAAGGATCCAGCACCAACGAATCCTTCATCTCATTGATTTATCATCTGATCTGCATAGCTGAAACCCAAGATGAGCTTTGCCAGCGCATTATCCTTCACGGACGATACTTGCCATTCAATCTGAACATATCAGAGTCCAGGGCCCATCTCTGACCAATCTATCGTGTCTCTAGATATCACATGCCACTTGACAAGGAGAAATAGCCATACATCGCGTTTGGTACCGATATCACTAAATCGATACGTTTTATCGCATGTCGAATGACATAGTTCCACACACTGTAAAGTTGGCAATTGATGATTCTTTTTGCGCTAGCAATGATTAGATAGACCTTGGTGATCTGATTTTTCTAATTGGAATATGGATGTGGTCGCATTTATCGAATTTATTTCAGACGGTAGATGTGATATCAATCAAAGTTGTTTCCAATCTTGTGGAACTAATGTAATGAAAGACAAGAGGATTACAGATTGTTGGTGGACCACAGGAGTCATAGCCTTTTTTTTTGTCTTTTGCTGAAGTTCTTCTTGTGAGATGATCCGTATGATTTCCAACCCCAATCAATGAAATCTAAAGCTGCAAGCCACTTGGTCTTTATTCTGTAGACCACAGCAATGGATGAGCTGACTGCTGTTGAGCCAACTGAGTTCCAGGGAGTGAAGAAAAGTGATTTGTACCTAGGAAGTGGTAGCCTTGTTAGATATAGAAGTCTTTGGTAGAATAGACATATGTGTCAACGCAAACGACCTAGCAAAGATTAATGGGGAAAATGAAGATGTAATGCAACCTTCTAAAGTATACAATAGCCAGTGAACGACAGGTAGAGAGATATCTAAGTACTTGACATTTCCAATGTCTTGCTCTATGAAGCTTTGTATCTGAAGCGATTCTCATCATTGTGTAGCTTTATGAACTACATTAATCTGCCTGATCGTATTCAAAATCTAAAATGTATAAAGTTACACTGTGGAGACTGCTTTGCAGTACAGCAAATAACCATGGAACGCACAAACAGTATCTTCAAAGACGAAAATGGTGAATTCGTAACTGGCCGAATCATATGACACTAACGACAGTTCATTGATCCAAGACGTGATTGCTTCGGTTATCAATTTTTTAAGCTTGGAGGTTGTTTAAACAACAACCAGAGAAATAGCCACTCAGATCCCTCTGACCTCATAACCCTCGAAAACTCCTCCTTTGCACTTGCTACCATTACATTATAACCATGGGCAGAACGAAATCAATACCTATTGATACCAGGAATTTGAATGGTATAAATGAGGCGCGAATAGTTCCTTCCACAAACTTCATCGATATCAATGGTCAGGAAGATCGCGCGGTCAGATACATAAGAGAGGCTCCATTTGTCACCTTCAGCAACAGCGGAGCCATAAATGGCATCTACGAATTTCATAGAAGAGCGCAACCTAGCGACCGTATCAATTTCAGAACGAAATGGACTTCACAAGCCTTACTTCGAGAGGAAGAGCGCTGGATTGCCAATCAGTATGCAGATGGGGTTCCTGGAAATAAACAAATGACGAAAGGCATGGCTCAAGAGGATGGAGTTCGCGCGCAACAAGAAGGAATCATCCGAAAATACGTGGAACCAAGTAACAAATACATATCGCGCCCTAATCGCATTACGGATAAGATACGACGTCGCCCAAAACAACTAGAGCTTCCGCCAGTCGTTGATGGTATCAATTGGCTTGCGGATCGGCTGAAAGAGGGGACAGTCAACGACCAGACAGCTTTTCTAAGTCACTGGCAGAACGATTCCTATCAATGTGCCAAGTCGAGAGGCAGAGTCAGAAATCTTTCGACACAGTATGCATTTGAGGTGCCTATGAAAGATCTCGATAACGATGAATCATACTCCTCGAGAGGAAGTGACTATCATGTAGCACCTTCTCCAAAGCAGCGAGCAACTGCAATATCACCTCGATCTTGTATTAATTGTTATGAGAGGCACCATGGGTGTGACAGAAGTTTGCCTAGTTGCTCTACCTGCAGCGCAATTCATGCATACTGCGTCTATCCCAAAGTAAGTCCCCCGGGTTAAATCACCGCGATTTGACAGCTGATATGTTCTTTGAAGGTTACTACTAGAGTATCTCCAAAGAAGCGGAAGAAGTGGTAGTAAGATATGTTTGTATGGGTGACAAACATCAAATTGGTTTCGTTGGCAAAAGGGATCTTCTTGGCGGCTAGATTGCTTGTAATCTGTGTTGATATCAGATAATCATGGAGAAGGGAGGAGCGGTGGACAATTCATATCATGCATAATCTTAAGCAAAAGTTCTCGTCTCCGAAGAAAATGGCTTATACGATATTCAGCGTATCGAGTACTTCACGAGTAGCTACTCACAAAGGAGGAACATGTCCAGTAGCGTGCACATATAGCAGTAAAATTCGAAGTGAATCGTTCAAACTCATCATATCATTGCACTGCCTGTTTAGAATGTTTCCTGTGATAGAGTCATATGAAGAGCAGATATTAGGCCTTGGGGAGTAAGAAGCTCGTCTAATCTTGAACATTGACAGGACTTCGAAATATTGACGTACATATATACAATCACTGTGTTGATATCCAAAGTAATGAGGTTGAGTGAGTTGGAGTGAAGTTAAGAATCTAGCCTCGGGATGTGCCGCTGCTGTGGGACCTTGAATCATTTACCAATCATGCAAAATAGGCACCGTATAACAGGGGATCTGGTATCCTCGTCGTCTCAATGTAAAGAGATAGCTTTAATACGAATTTATTATTCGTCATATTTTACTATTCTTTGGTCCTACAAATTCTCGGATATTTATTTATTATTTCTAACAGTCATGAATCTCAGCTCAAGCCGGTAGTAACATCATCATATCACGAATTCGAGCTCTACCTAGCTAGGCGCATCGCATCCAAATGTTCTCACAATGCTCGATCAGCTGTCGCCCGTTGCTCCTGCGAGAGTACGAGTTGTACTGTTACCAATTGGGCAAATCAAACGCGCAAGATTTCTGAGTTTTGTAGAAAGGTTGCAACCTCAGAATGTTGTGCGTTTGGGGGATATCAGTCCAGATGGACGTCCCAATAGAAGTGAGAATTAAACTC